CAGTTTCAAGCAAAAAAACCCTGAAACCTCACTTTTAAAAAAAAGACGTTTCTGATACAAACCTGGTACCAGGGCAGAACTTGCTCCCTCTTCCCAGCTCCCCCCATTCTTACAGCCCAGACAGATGCTGAAATTAAGAACTCACCTCATGATGGCTCCTGCTTCTTGGCATCTGTTTCTCTCCAGGTCCTTGTTCCTGAGCAAAACCTGCTCAGCACTCCCTGCCAGGTGACAATTTTCCATGGGGCAAAGTCCCACCACAGGGACCAGACCAGGGTGCAACCCAACTCATGCTGAGCCAAGGGCAGAGCTCCCACCTCCCCAGAACAGGTTGGAGCTTTATAACTAAACAACATGTTGGAAAACTGACCTGTATTTTTGAAACCATGAGTCTCAGCTGTCATTCCAGCAGACTTTTGTCTGTCTTGGGTGAGACAAAACACCCAAACACATGGTCCTCACCAGAAGCATCACTTCCCTCCAAGTGTCTTACAAGCACTTTTGTCCCTAAACACAGACTACCAGGTGCTGCTCAGCTTCTGTGCTGCTCTGATGACATTATTATTCCATCATTAGCAATGATTAGCATCACATGATTCCACTCTAGTGCTGCACGTAGAGAAAAATATGGTGTGGGGAAGAAGAATCAGAATGCAGAGACTTTAAAAGAAGACACGGGAAAGGGTAGGAGGGAAAATGTAACTTGCAATCATTTTCATTTAATTTTCAGCAATCTTTTTTTTTTTAAATAGTCTTTGCACAAAAATCACTCTCATTTCTCTTGCCATGACCACTGTCTCATGAAAAAATACAAAAAGGAAAAAACAAAACAAAACAGCTCTGGTACAATTAAAATGCTTCACTAAATATATATATATGTGTGTATATATATCTTTACTGTACAATATCTTCAAATTGGGGAATGTGAATGTTATTTCTGCATATTCTGAAACTCCATTTTCACTGTTATTTCTATTTACAGTTGCACAACGGCTTTGAGACACAGCTTTGATCCCCAACACTGACCCCTGAGAAGAAGACTCAAGTCTTCAGGCCCAACTCTTTTAGCTCACTTTAACTCTATAATATACAAACTATCTTCTTGATATAAGAGAACACCAAGTAACCTCACAAATACCAGAAAATCAGGTTTGTTGTTGGTTTGTCAACTACTTTTCCTAGTAAGAGTCTTCATAATTTCTATTCCTGTCTGGATGTATCAGACACCCTGGGCTTTGCTCCAGCAAAATGTGACTTTTCCATGGGTTCCCTGGAAAAGCACAGGAATGTTTCCTCTGTCCAAGATGCTGAACTTTTTCTAAGAAAAATGGGCTAAGAAACATAAGCCCAGCCTGGTTTTCCATCATACTGAGCTCAAAAGGAGATTCACTCCTGTCTCATCCAGGCTTCTGAGACTCTCTATCTCCAGATCTTTGTGGAGATTTTTCCTAGGACCTCTTTCCTGCAAGGAAAGCCTCTTGAACAGGATCAAATATCATCTGTAGCTATTTTTAGAAAGGATTCCTGCACGATATTTTTTTTTTTAGAGTGAATTTGTTCAAGAATTTGGCCAATAGTTGGGAAAGAAAGGCCTGGTCCTGCTTGGGACTCTCTGCTTTGAGGTAAAACCTCCTGAAGAACTGCAGTGATAACCCAGGTCCTGCAACCATCTCTTACAGGACCAGCCCCACAGAAAACAGTTGGAGGTGGCAATTTTCAAACTGCTACCACAGACATGATTTTTTTTTCTAGAAATTCAGGAAATGCTGCAGAGTTGCTGCCCATGAGAGCAGGGCCAAAGAGCTGCTGACTGGGGGGTGGCAGAAGGGCTCAAGCCCCACTTCCTGGATTTGTCACAGAATCATAAAGGTTGGAAGAGACCCCTAAGATCTTTAAATCCAACCATCAACCCCACCATGCTCACCAAACCACGTCTTGAAGTGCCATGTCTAGATGTTTTTTGAGCACCTCCAGGGATGGTGACTCCATTTTCCAAGGCTTGACCACCCCCCTAGTGAAGAAATTGCTCCTCATCTCCAATCTAAACCTCTCCTGGCACAACTTGAGGCCGTTTCCTCTGCAGCCCCAGGCACCACCAGCCCTGCAAATCTGACACATGTAATTAGGCTGGAAACTGAAACCCAGGAGCAGCTGGGAATTCTCCTGGCCTCTGCTGTGTAAATAACACAGCAGTGTTTGAAGCTCCAGTGAAACCTCTTGGTCTGTCAGCAGCTGCCCCAGCTCTGCAGCCAGCACGTGTTTACATTTCCCACTGACTCAGAGAATTAACACTTGTTGTAGGGTTGAGGAATGAAGCAAATGTCCCAAAGCAGGCTTTGAAGAGCTGGTTGGTGGGAGCTTATCACCACCCCAACAGTTTTCTGCTGCTGGCAGCGGCTCCTCCGTGCTGAGCCAGGTGTGTCACTCCGTGTGTCCAAGAGATGCTCCAGGGAAGGGGCTGCTCGTCCCCACTGGTGCCACCAAATAGCAGAAATGGTTGGTTTCATGGTCGGACTCGATGATCTGAAAGGTCTTTTCCAACCAGAACAAGCCTGTGATGCTGTGAAATCAGGGATGTCTGCTGCCATTATTACACATCTAATTGCAAAGAAGCTTGCGAGCCTCCATCACATCTCCTGGAAGAGTTCTTAGATCTCCATGGCCCACCTGAGATCTTGGGGGAAGGTCCAGCCCCCTTATGAAGGGGCCACAGCTGCCTTTCCATTCTCCCGATGGCCTTCTCCAGAGGTTTCCTCATCTTTCTCCTTGATGGAGAACTTTTTCCTGAAGGCTTGCGTTACGCTGGAGGAAGAAGCCTTCCTGAAGGTGGTGAGTCTCTTCCGGAAGTTGCCCCCCGAGAAGAAGTAGAGAAGTGGGTCGAAGCAGCAGTTGGAGGCTGCCAAGGGGAGGGTGACCACGACTGCTTTCTGCAGGTAAATGGCATCCTCACAGCTGGTGTTCTTCAGCCTCAGGACGTGGAGGTGGACGGTACGCAGGACGTGGTAAGGGGTGAAGCTGACCAGGAAGGTGGCTGTCACAATGATGATCATCCAGACCGCCTTCTTGCGGTTAGCCTGGTTTTTCTTCAAGGAGTTCTTCAGCAAGGTCCTTATGATCATGGTGTAGCAGATGGTGATGACGCTAAAGGGCAAGATGAAACCCACGAAGAGGGCGATAAGATCCAGGATCATCACTAGGTTGGTCTTCCGGGAGTCTTCTGGGGGTTCAAAGCACTTGGTCTTGTTGCCGTGTTGGTAGGTCCCGTGCAGCAGGAAGGGAGCGCTGGTCAGGGTGACAAAAATCCAGATGCCAATGCAGACAAACTTAGCCTTCTTCTCCGTGGTCAGGTTGATGTTCTGGACCGGGAACACGATGGCCACGCAGCGGAAGAAGCTCATGGCAGTCATGAAGAAGATGCTGCAGTACAGGTTGACATACAAGGCATAGGAGCTGATCCTGCAGAGGAAGTCGCTGAAGAACCAGTTCCCTTTGTGGACGTAGTAGATGACCCGGAGGGGCAGGGTGCAGACGCAGAGGAAGTCAGACATGGCCAGGTTCAGCATGTAGACCTGGAAGGCCGTCTTCTGCCGGTAGGTTTTGATGAGGACGTAGAGCACCACCCCGTTGCCAACAAAGCCCATGATGCTGATCATGGAGTAGAGGGTGGAGTAGACTCGGTTGCGGAAGTCGTCGATGGAGTGTTGGCAGGACAGGTTGTCGAACGGGGCCCTCATGATGCTTGGCTGAGGCAAGGCCCTGGTGCTGAGTGTCAGGGTGAGGAACCTGCTGAGACACGGAAAGCAGCGCGTGCAAATGAGATGTGGTTCTTGGAATCATGGAATTGCTTAGGTTGGAAAAGGTCTTTAAGGTCATCAAGGCCAGACATTAACCCGACCTGACCACGCCCACTGCTGAGCAATGTCCCTCAGCACATCTACACAACTTTTAAACACATCCGGAGATGGTGACCCCACCACTTTCCTGGGCAGCCTGTGCTAGCGTTTAATGACCCTTTGAGTGAAGAAGTTTCTTCTCATATCTAATCTAAACCTCCCCTGGTGCAACTCGAGGCCATTTCCTCCTGTGTTATCAATTTATCTTCTTACTTGTGAGAAGTGACCGGCACTTGCCCCTCTACAACCTCCTTTCCGGGCAGATGCAGAGCCAGAAGGTCTCCCCTCAGCCTCCTCTTCTCCAGGCTGGACACCCCAAGTTCCCTCAGCTGCTCCTCATCAAAATTATCCTCAAGACCCTTCACCAGCTCCGTTGCCCTTCTCTGTAACCACTCCAGCACCTCAAGGTCCTTCTACTGTGGTGCCCAAAGTGACTACAGTACTTGAGGTGCAGCCTCACCAGTGCCAAGTAAATAGGAGGAGGACCTATCAAGTCTCCAGGGCAGGAGAGGACATCTAGGAAGGGACCTGGATCCGTGCAGACCCATGTTGTTACAACCTTTCTTAACCTGGTGCCACTAACTGGTGATGGAAAGATGATGGAGATGGGCAGACAGAGCAGGAAGCTCCAGGGAGGTTCAGGTCATGGAGGACAAACCTCTTGGTCTGGAGACATCTGCACTATCAAGGTAACTCCCTAGCAAGTGTTTAAGTGTTTTTTCTTGGGTTTGCTTTGCACCTTGATTTGATGCCCATCAGCAGGTCTGGGGCTCTCCCAAGCACTCAGAGCCCAGGGATTTTGGATCCCCTCAGCCAGGCTTTCCTGAAAACATTATGGTTTCCTTTTGGTATCCATTGAGAGACACCACACTCCTAGTTTGTGTTGTCCTGGAGGAAAGAAAGGGGGAAACACACACTTGCCTATTTTTCCCATTAATTTTCAGTTGCTAATGGTTCAGAGACAGGACCCCACTTGTAGTCTGGGACCACATCAAAGCCTGGTGATCAGAACTGCAGGATTCACATTCACCAACATCACAGGACTTGAGGAAAACAACCATGAAAGCACCATCTGGGACCAGGTCAGTGAGGAAAACACCCCACGTACATGCTCAAAACTGTTGTCAAATGGGCCATATTTTCATCCATAAAAATAAGCTGGCAGCACTAGACTCTCTGTCACTCTCTCCAGGACTCACTGGGAATTCAGAACCACCCTGGGATGCTCAAGGCTCCCAGGTCTCAGTCAAGTTTCAGCTATTTGGGAGCTTCTGCTCTTCAGATAACCCTGTGACACCCTGCAATCCACAGGAGCTAACAGAGGGCAGTGAGGTGGCACAGGCAGGAGAGCAGGCACAATCTGACCCGAGAGAGGATGGTTTTTTATTTCCATTTGGGCTACCTGTGGACAGGCAGGGGGGTGTGTGTGTCTGCACACAGGTCTTTGGCCAGAAGAGGCAGCCAAGACTCAGCATGGCAGCACAGGGCTCTATCAGCAGCTGTAGATCAGGAGGTTGGGTGTCAGCAATTCGAGCTCACCTCAGCTTGCATAAGTGAAGCTTATCTGGTGATGCTCATCACAGACAACCAGTTAATCAGAGAGAAGCAGTGAATTCATAGCTGTGTCCTGTCCCTGCCCTGCCAGTGCCACCTCTCTGCAGCCCAGCTCTGCTGGTGGCAGAACCCAGACCTCAGCCCCAGCTTGGACAAGGCTCCTGGTGCTGGAAAGCCCAGGGTGGGTGTGAGCACCAGAGATTGTCCCCACCAGCCTCCAGCCACCTCTCTGAGGACCAGCCAGCAACGTGGGGCAGAGGACACTGAGCCCTGGAAGGTGCCAGAGACCCAGCCTTCAGCCCACAGTGCTGGTCCTCACTTCAGCTTTAAGGTTCAGGTTAGGAAAGGAGCAACACTCCAATAATGATGTAAAATCTCAGATAAGACTCAAATTAAGTTTTCAGGAGCACCAGTCTGATTTTAACCAGCTGCTTGGGAGTGGCAGGTAGTGCAGTGTCCTTTGGGGGGAAAAAAAAAAAAGCAGCTGTATAATCCCCATTCCTTGTTTTTAATTGTCAGGATAAGGAGGGACAGGTGGTGGAGCTGGTGCTGGTGCTTTGATGGCCTGGGCAGCAGAACCCCCCAGAGCCCCAGCACATCCAGAGCAGGGCTCAGCTCTCTCAGGGAAGCTCCCCTAGATAAAAATCTCTGTTCTTACCAAGGCAGTGTCTGCCTCAGACAGAAGCACAGCCCAGATGCTTGAGATGCAGAGGCTGGAATGATCCCTTTGGCACCCTCTGGGTGTTTCCCATCTGCCTGCACCTCCAGGCAGTTCCCAGCAGTTCCTGCCCAAAGCAGGGTGTGTGGTGAACCCAGGGGACAAGCAGAGATGTTTTGCCTAAAAGCAGTAAGGTGATGTAATGCTCAGAGAAGGGAAGAAGCTGCAGAATGAGGGATGGAGAGGAGCAGCAGGGAGCTGGGCACAACCTGCATCCCCCAGCACCACAGGCTGGGTCAGGGTTCCCTTGGAGGAGGCACCAGCCATGGGTGGCCCTGCTGCCTCCCTGCCACTACCCTTCCTTCTCAGCTCTCCTGCCTGAGGGATAGCCAGGAGATACTGGTAGACATCTCAGCCCATCACTTGGGAAGTGCAGGTAGTGCAGTGTCCTTTGGGGGGAAAAAAAAAAAGCAGCTGTATAATCCCCATTCCTTGTTTTTAATTGTCAGGATAAGGAGGGACAGGTGGTGGAGCTGGTGCTGGTGCTTTGATGGCCTGGGCAGCAGAACCCCCCAGAGCCCCAGCACATCCAGAGCAGGGCTCAGCTCTCTCAGGGAAGCTCCCCTAGATAAAAATCTCTGTTCTTACCAAGGCAGTGTCTATCAGCTCTGCCTCAGACAGAAGCACAGCCCAGATGCTTGAGATGCAGAGGCTGGAATGATCCCTTTGGCACCCTCTGGGTGTTTCCCATCTGCCTGCACCTCCAGGCAGTTCCCAGCAGTTCCTGCCCAAAGCAGGGTGTGTGGTGAACCCAGGGGACAAGCAGAGATGTTTTGCCTAAAAGCAGTAAGGTGATGTAATGCTCAGAGAAGGGAAGAAGCTGCAGAATGAGGGATGGAGAGGAGCAGCAGGGAGCTGGGCACAACCTGCATCCCCCAGCACCACAGGCTGGGTCAGGGTTCCCTTGGAGGAGGCACCAGCCATGGGTGGCCCTGCTGCCTCCCTGCCACTACCCTTCCTTCTCAGCTCTCCTGCCTGAGGGATAGCCAGGAGATACTGGTAGACATCTCAGCCCATCATTTGCTCAGATAAAACTTCCTTGTTGAACCTCCCTGTGCATCCTACGTGGCACTGAGCGGGGCTGTAAACTTTGTACCTCCCTTGGGCACCACCTCTCAGCCTGCCAGCTGCTCTTCTGAAAGGTGCCAGCAGGTTATGGTTGGCAAATAAACATGTTATCAGGGTAGCCATGCAGGGCATGTGTCTGAAAGGCAGCTGAGACCAGGGGTCTGTCACATTTCTAACCACACATTTAAATGTCTCTTGTCACCCCAAGGGACAGGGATGATCAGAACCTCGGTGCAAACTGCTGAAGTCAAAGAGAGCTCCACACCTGGAAGGGCATCTGTAGAAACCCCTTCTTAGCTGAGGCTGTGGAGCAGCTTTGCAGCAGGAGCTGAAGGCAAAACCCCTCTCTGTTTGCAGGGTTGTGGTTCAGGGAACCGTCGATCAGCACCCTGGGGATTCAGCTCCCCAGGAACGCGCAGGAGGGAGAAGGAGCAGCAACGCTGGGCTGAGCTAAAGCTCCTGAAAAATCAAACCACCCCCTCAATTACCCTCTCAGTCTCACGCAGCACAGTGGGATCGAAAGCTGGGAAGTCAATGCCACTCGATTTAATTGCACAGCCCCCCCCCAAAGAAAGCAAACCAGGAGAAGATCCTACCATTTGGAGGAGCCCCCATCCCGACCCCAAACATCCCCTGCAGGGACTTACCGAAGTGCAGCCGGGCTCGGAGCTCTGCTCAGGCCAACCCTTCACCACCCTTAAACTGGGACCAGTCCCGACCGCCCCCGGGGAGGGGCTTGGAACGCCCCGACCTCCCCCCCATCCCTTCCTGAGCGCGGCGGTGGGAGCGGGACGGGATGGGGGGCGAGGTCGGGGCCGCCCCAATCCGACAGAAATTGCACCGCTGGAGGCAGATCTTTGCACCTCGTGGCCATCTGGGGACTGAAAAGTCCCCAACCACAGCAGGACGAGCCTCCCAGCCCTTTGCTGCTGAGAGCTGCAATGAAAAAGAAGAGGTCAAGGCACAAACGCGCTCTGGAGCAGCTGCTGGTTGCACTGGAGCAAGGGAGGTAGCAAAACAAGGGTTTGTTTCTCTTGCATTCAGGGGCAAATTTGTCCTGGAGGTGGTGGCATCAACCTGCATTCTACAGAATGAGTGTTCCCCAAGGTGCTGGCAGGGTGATCTGGATCATTGTCACTGTCATAGAGTCATGAAATCATAGAATCAGACAATAGTTTGGGTTGGAGGGACCTTAAAGATCATCTAAATCCACCCCCCTGCCTGGGCAGGGACACCTCCCACCAGCCCAGGCTGCTCCAAGCCCCATCCAACCTGCCCTTCAACACTGCCAGGGATGGGGCAGCCACAGCTTCCCTGGGCAACCTGTTCCATCAGCAGCCCCCGTGTCCACGTGAGGACCAGGAGGAGCAGAACTCCCTGCCAGCCTGTCCCCAGGATGTGATGGTCACACTGGCAGCAGCTGCAGAACAAGGGGCAGCCCTGACACTCATCCAGGACCTGGAGAGGTGATTTTCTTCCCACCTGTTTGTTCCCCTGTGTG